GCTGTGGGTGGCTGTGGCGTTGTGTTGTGTTGCTGCGGGTGTGCTTGTGGCACCTGCGTGGCATGTTTTGCCTCGCTTCGTTGCCGCGTGAGATGAATATTAGAAGGTGGCTGCTTGAACGCTGCAAAATCTGCAGCTCTGTTGGCGGGTAATCGGCCACCATCAGGAATGAATTGCTGTTGTAAAATACGGTAGGAGATTGAAACTCCTGAAATGGAGATAAGAATAGAATGTTTCCATTGTATAATCTGTATAAAAGCTTTCAATCCGGAACTAAATCGCCCATGTTCAGCTGCACTTCCTTGAATGAAAGTTGCACTCCCTTGGTATGGTTCTGTTGCAGGCCCCTAGATTCGTTTTGAGGTAGTCTGAGGCCTCAGAGTACACCGCTCTTCCTTGTCTGGCTGTCAGAGTGACCTGATTTTTGAAGTCTGAGATTTCAGACTACACTTGCATTTCTACGCTGAACATACAGTGTCAGTCAATTTCCTGTTATAATGAAAACACTAAGTAACCTTCTTACATTTCTTCTTGATAGTCTAATACAGGTTCACATTCTACTACTGCCTCGTCTACAGGCTCCTTCCCAGCCCACGAGGGCTCCTCTCTGTGCCTTGCAGCAGGTGCTGTGACCGGCCGGCGCTTCTTGTAGCTGCGCCATATCTCTACTACTGGGACATCTAGCTCATAGTCTAGGAGTGAAATACAGAGCAGATCACTCAGCCTACAGTCCTTAATGATGCCCCTCTGCCACGTTTTTATGAGATTCTGTCGGGAGAAACCGCGCTCGCACTCGACCGTGCTGAGAGGCAGCACCGCAATCGCCACCCACAGTCCGACCAGGTTGGGGTACGCCTGCTGCCAGTCGGGTGTCCTGAGCATCGCACAAAGTCCCGTGTGGAACTTGCGCTCGCTCTTGGGGGCTCTGGCAAGGACCGGACACAGTGTGCGCAGCTCCCTCACGGCTTTTTTCTTGTCAATGCCTGCAAGGCAAAACGAGACACGGGTTTAGTAAACGAGCCATAGCCAAAGGGGGAAAGGGGCGGGGTGACACAAAACCATATCAGGTAGTATCTCGTCGGCTTCATATGCGCGAAACAACGTGACAAGCGACATCAGCCACTCCAGGCACTGTGCCTGCCGTGCGTCCCGGTCCCAGTGAGGTTGCCACATCTCTGGAATAAACAGCCGCACTCCGGAAAGTGAGTCAAGGTCGCCGAGCTTGGACTGGAGCTGCTCGACAACGAGCTCGGCCATGTCGGTGCAGAGCGCAACGCAGGCGTGGTGATGACCAGGCCCACGATAGCTTGGGTTTGTGCGTTCGTGAAGCTTCACCTTGAAGCGGTTCATACTGCCGTCGGACGATGCTCCTTCCACCACCATTTGTGGTGTCCCTCCAGGACCGTGCTTCTCAATGAAGCGGTAGAGCCTCTCGGTCGCCCCCCCCCCCCCCCCCCCGAAGTCGTCTCCACAGTCGACGTACCGAGCCTCCAGGATCGATGTGGTGCGCACAATCTGCGTGTGCACCAGCGCGTAGTCGAGCTGCATCACAAACATACAAAGAGAATTAGTACAATGGGTCTCGGACTTAAACCAATACAATCTACACCCTCAAATTCACTTACTTCTCGCTTCTGAAAAACTGAGGAGAGGACGTTGAGCTGCTCCAGCATGTCCGCGAGGAACCTGATGAGGAACTGGAACCTGTACGACGTGACGAGTTTGTACATGGTCTGGTCCTTCCACCCCGACAACATGACCATGATGGCAGGTAGGACTTGGACGAAGCGGGCAACTGCAGCTCCTCTGGACAGCCACCGCCTGTTGCGCAGCGGTCGCTGGTTCAGTGACGGCCTCGTGCAGAGGTGTGGTGTCTTTGGGAATAGGTGGGCGGCTCGAGCTAGGTTGCGACGGTGGCGTTGGAGGTGGATTGTGCTTCGGTAGGACAGACCTAAGAAAATCTAGACCGGTGAGAGGGTCGGATACTGGGCCGGATACTGGGCCGGATACTGGGCGACCGACTGCATCATCCTCGTCGTCGGGCCCATCCGCGACAGCCTCTGTAACTGCCATTGAGCCTGCCGAGCAGAGGTGTAGCGAGCTAGGAGGTGGGAGCCTGAAACAAGGGCTCCTACACTAGTTTGAGTCCAGGCAAATGGAGCGGGCCATGAGAGAGACTGCAAGAACGGTGACCAAGAAGAAGATGAGAAACCCTCGTGTAATAGGACCTCCCATCTCCCAGAAGGTCATTGCATGCACTGCACCTGGGCGTGAATCCTTGGAAGGTGGGGTGATTGGGGTTGATGGTGTCAAAAGTTAGAAGAAGAAAGAGGGTTGAACTAGCAGAAATGGGGACACAAATAGCAAACCCTAGAAGGGTTGTACTCGCTATAGAGCACCCCACTACAGGCTAGAACATAAGAATAACATTCTGACACACCCCCATAGCCAAAGTGGGGTGTAATCAGCAGAGCAAGCAAAGCAGTACAAGCTCAGGGTGGATCACAATGTCACCACACATTCTGAGCACAAGTTCAAGAAGCAAGTTCAAGTGCACAATTATCAGCAAAGCTAGTGGTGGTCACAACGGGCAAGTGAGGAGGAGGAGTGAGAGCGAGAGGAGTTGGGAGGCGACGGCTGAAGCTGCAGACACACGGGCAACAGGAGGCACACTGGCACAGCGGCTACCGGGCGAAGCCCCCGGACTACTGGAGTAACTGGCCCCGCGGCTAAAGTAGCGGCAGACGAGCAACGGACCCACGGGCGGCTGGCACAGCTGGCTACGACTGGGCTACCGGGCGAAGCCCCCGGAATACAGGTGCTGCTGACGACACGACGGCAACCTCCATGCAGCTTCCCTAACTATCCAACTCCCCCAACACACACCCGCTGATACACCCCTAGCTCCACTCCCACGCACCCCCCTTAAACCCTAAACCCGAGTCTCCCACACAACCACCCCCCTCAGCGACAGCTGCAGCAGTGGGAGACGGAGGAGGAGGAGGAGCAAAGGGAGGAAGGCCCACCGAGCACCCCCATACCCGCCACCCAACAGCTCGCCCCTCCCGTCGTCCGTCGTGGCGACCTGAGGAGGCCGCTTGCGGCCCCCGAAGGAGCCGCGACGGGCGACGGGAAATGGCAGGGAGGGGAGAAAAGGGGGGAGGGGGGGGGGGGGGGGGGGGGGGGGGCCGATGCCGCGACGAGGGGCGGGGCCGCGACGGTCGGGGCCGCGACATAGGGCGGGGCCGCAAAGGTAGGGCGGGGCCGAGCCGGGCAGGCGCACGGGCGGCGACGGGCCGGGGCGGGGCCGCGACGTAGAGCGGGGCCGAGCCGGGCAGGCGCACGGGCGGCGACGGGCCGGGGCGGGGCCGCGACGAAGGGCGGGGCCGAGCCGGGCAGGCGCACGGGCGGCGACGGGCCGGGGCGGGGCCGCGACGTAGAGCGGGGCCGCGTCGAAGGGCGGGGCCGCGACGGTCGGGGCGGGGCGTAGGGCAGAAGCCCGCCGCGCGCCTCGGGGCGCACAGCGGGCAAAGAACCGCCGCGCGCCTCGGGGCGCACGGCGGGCAGAAAACCGCCGCGCGCCTCGGGGCGCACGGCGGGAGGAAAAAAAAAGTAGCAGCGGAAGCGAGGTGGGGACACACCCACAGGATCGATCCAAAGGGATCGACCTGCTCTGATAGCATGTCAAAAGTTAGAAGAAGAAAGAGGGTTGAACTAGCAGAAATGGGGACACAAATAGCAAACCCTAGAAGGGTTGTACTCGCTATAGAGCACCCCACTACAGGCTAGAACATAAGAATAACATTCTGACAGATGGATGGAGTCACGTGAGAGAAGCAACGCGGTGCGAGCCCTGCGTTGGCAACTGGGAAGGTGGGGTGGGGTGGATGGACGTGGTGACGTGAGAGTGGCAGCGCGCTGCGAGCTATGCGCTGGCAACATTGAAGGTGGGGTGTGGTGGATGGTCGTGGTGTACAGCGAAGGTGCAGTGCGTGGCGAGCTATGTGTTGGCAAGGAATCTTGCCAACACTGCCTGCGGCGCAGCCGCGATTGGTCAGAATTGGGTGGGACTACAGCAACGCCGTACCAACGCAACTGTGCGTTGTCGCGCTGGTGAAATCGTGGGTTCCCGCCCGTGATTGACGGGGTTACTGCTCCACGCCGCCAGGCTGGACCCTGCCCCTGTATTATCGGATTCAGAATGCACCCCCGATACAAGTCTGATGCACAGCCTACACTACTAAAAATAGTCTGAATTTACAGACAAGTATGTTAAAAAAACTCTGAAATATCAGACAAGGCCCCACCAAAAATTCTTAGAGTGCAGACTAGGTACCAAAAAAAAGTCTGAACTTTAGAGTCAGTTCAGACTTTTTTTTGGTACCTAGTCTGCACTCTAAGAATTTTTGGTGGGGCCTTGTCTGATATTTCAGACCCTCTGATATCTAGGGCCCTGGCGCACAATCCATTCACGACTGCCGCACAAGTACAGCGGGCTGCGTGCTCTTCCATGTGCGCCTCTTCATTCCCCCCTCAACGAGCGGATAGGGCTTGCACAGGTCATGCGAAATTTTGCCTGTGGAGCCAAGCTCGTGAAATTTTCCCAGCGCACAAACAGTACAGTGATGCGCGCACAACTCCCGCACCAGAGGTTTGGTACACAAACGAACTTCGCCGAGGCCGCGGGAGACCCCTTCAAGGAAAGCCCATCCCGTAGTGCTTGTGCAGAAGGCCCAAACTGCTCATGCGGCAACAGAACGAGGAGGCCCAATTGTCCATGCCTACTGGGTTTATTTTGAACACGCTCGGGTGGGTCAGGATTTCCTCGAAATGCCGAGGAAGGATGCAAACCCAACCCGAAAAAACGTCGAATAATCACATCGCACTGTGCTTGCAGGTTGCGAGTCATCGCCACTTGTTTGCGACAACACGGTAACGCCATGGCGGGAGTGAAGCGGGCTCGGCGCGCAGCGGCGTCGTCGCGGTCGCCGTCGCCGGAGATGGACGTGCTTTACTACAACCTGCTGCTCGCCGCGCTGCGCGCCCGCCAGGAGGCCGGCGTCGCGTACTACGGCGCGTTCGTCGCCGACCTTGAGCCCGTGCCGCCCGACCTCTACGCGCACTGGGTGCCGCCGCCCGGCTCCTTCGCCGTGCAGCGCGCCGACGGCGACGACGACGAGCGCGGCGCGGAGGACGAGGACGCGGCGGGGCGGGACGGCGCGGACGACACGGACGCGGACGCGGGGGAGCACGCGGGGTCGGACGGCGAGGGGGGGGCGGACGACGCATCGGCGGAAGCGGTGGTTGCGCGCAGGGGTCCGGGCAGGCCGCGGTCGGCGCGGAGCCGGCCGGGCGCGTCAGCAGGCGGGGCAGCGGCGGGCGGGGAGAGCGGCGACGCGGCGGCGAGCGAGGAGACGATGATGCCCGCGTGGCTGAAGGAGCTCATCGCGGCGGACAGAGAGAGGGCCGCGCTGCAGCAGCAGGGCGGGGAGCAGGGCGGGGGCGAGCAGGCGCAGCAGCAGGGGGCGGAGGGGTTGTCGTTCCCCGTGGTAGACAGCAACATGATCCGCGGGTCGTTCCCCGCCGCCGTGGCCGCCGTGCGCTTCCTGGAGCGCGCCAGACGCCGCCTGGGGGGGCTGCCGGGGCGCACGGGGGAGGTGGAGATGGGCGGAGGGGTGGGCGGGGAGGGGGAGAAGTGGAAGGACCGCCTGGCGGAGGAGATGATGACGTCAGCGCTGGGGGTGAAGGGCACGCTGGGGTCGCGGGAGGGCGGGCGAGGGCGGGAGGGCGGGGGGGATAAGATAGAGCGGTGGACGCCCAACGAGGACGCCATCCTGCTGGTGGGGCGCGTGCTCTTCGGCACCCGCTGGATCAGCATCGAACGCATCCTGCCCGGCCGGTAAGTGCGTGTGTGGTGCCGGGCCCATTGCCCACTGCCCACTGCAGCAACTCTTGCCACTCGCTTTCTCTGTGCTGCGCCGCATGCTCTTTTTGGGAAGGGCATTCGCGGCGCCTAAGTAACACCCTGGTTGTCACCCAGTGGGTATCAAGGGACTCCCGCACCACCCCAAAGCTTGCCGCGTTGCTCCACCCCCACCACCCCCACCCCCACCCCCACCCCCTCGTGTGCGAGCAGGTCCATCCAGGCGATCAAGACGCGGTGGCTCAACTACCTCAAGGGGCTCTTCCGCCGCCACCGCTGGTGCACCTCCGCCCTCGCCCCCCCCCTCTCCAAGGAGGCCGCCGCCTACCTCCCCCCGCCTCCCTCCCCGCCGCCCACCCCTCCCCCCGCGCCCGCCCCTTCCACGTCAGCAGCCACTGAGGCTGTGTCAGCAGAGGCACGCGCGTCCACCCCTCCGCCCTCTGCTGCTGCGGCTGCTGCTGCCAGTGCCCCCCCTGCACCCCACCCCCGCCTCTCTCTCCCCCTGCCCGCATCGGCCACCCCCCCATCCTCTGCCCCTCCCCTGCCCGGCCCTGTGGGGGCGGCAGGCAGTCAGGGGGCGGCAGGGAGGGCGCTGCTGAGCATGCCGGCTGTGCCACCCGCTGGAGCAGCCACAGATGGTGGCGCAGGCAGAGCAGGGGGAACAATGGGCGCTGCCCCAGGAGCTGCTTCAGGGGCTGCTTCAGGGGCTGCTTCAGGGGCTGCTTCAGGTGCTGCTTCAGGTGGTGCTGGTGGTGGCGTGGCCGCATCAGCAGTAGGGGTCACGCCAACCAAGCGGTCGCGCTCCCAGTCCTCCCGTGCCCCCGCCGCCACGCCCACGCCTCCCACCGCGGCACATGGCGGCCAGGAGGAGGGGGGAGGGGAGGAGGAGGCGGGAGGGGAGGAGGAGCGGGTGCGGCGGCACGAGCGGTACCTGACGTGCCTCATGCTGCGCACTGAGAAGGGCCCGCCGCCGCACTCCCTCTCCACCACGCACGAGCTCTATTGCTTCGCCTGCAAGTCCTCCGAGGGCCAGCTGTCGCCCTGCTATTGGTCGGACGAGGCGGTGGCAGCGACGGCGGCGGAGTGGGGCGGTGGGGGAGGGGCGGTGGTGGGGCTGATTCCCTGCGCCAAGGCTTACCATGCTCGCTGCGTGCATGCTGCAGTCAAGGTGAGTCCATGGGTCAAGGTGAGTCCATGGGTGAAAGTGAGTCCATGGGTGAAGGTGAGTCAATGTGGGAAGCAGGATTGTTTGAAGTTTGGTGTTTCAGCTCCATGGCCTTGCCCCCATGGCCTTGGCCCCATGGCCGTGCCTTCTCCTTGCAGCAAGCATGGAGTCTCCTCTCACCTGCGCTTGCCTCTTTGCCGTACTCTCACCCACTCTGCTGCTTCCACCTTCCCTCGCTCGCCGCTCACTCCCACGTCCTGCCTCCTTGCCTTTGCCCACCTACTGTCACTCTCTGCGTTGCAATCAGGACGGCTGCCCGTTCATCTGCCCGAGGCATCAGTGCAAGCAGCGCGGGTGCCGGGCAGCAGTGGCGGTGGTGTGCCGCAGCTGCCCCTCCTCCTGGTGCTCCCTGCACGTGCCACCCTCCTCTCTCGACTGCGAGCCCTCGTTTCTGAGAAGGTTCCGCGTGCAGCCGCAAGTGCGCATCACCATCTGCCCCTGCTGCCAGGTGGGTGTGGAAATGACTGGGTGTGGGGGTTGGGTGCTGTGTGCGTGCATCTCCATGTGCGTGCATCTCCATGTGTGTGCATCTCCATGTGCGTCTAAGTGGACGCCCGGGGGTGGGTCTAAGTGAATGCCCCGGAACTGCTGGGTGTGGGAACTGCTGTGTGTGTGTGTTCATGCATGTGCAAGTTTACGCATGTGTACATGCCTGCTTGCGTGTTTGGTGCATATGTGTGCTCTTTAATGGTGAAGGGCACAATCATGGCTTTGATCCATGGCATCACACACACCCGCACGCCCGCACATGCACGCCCGCACATGCACGCCCGCACATGCACGCCCGCACATGCACGCCCGCACATGCACTGCGCGCCCGTCTCCCGAAGCATCTAGTGGCCTGTCACCCAGCACACCATGTGCCCACAGGCACTGCAGTGAGCCACCGTTATGGCAAGCAGCCGTGGAGAAGCGTTCTCACTGTGGCTGGTCAACCGCTATGCTTCTGCCCCGCCATGCCCCTGGGAGTTGCCTACCCAACCACTCATTCTCCTCATCACCCCCACACACCCCCCCCCTTGCGGGCCCCTGGCAGGAGTTGGAGCAAAGTGTGCCCTTCCACAGCCACAGCGTGCGGGGCGGAGCGCCTGCTGCCGCTGCTGCTGCTGCTGTGCAGACTGTGAGAGGGCATCAGCCACTCGTGCAAGGGGCCGCACAGCAGCAAGAGCAGCAGCAACAGCGTCACGAGGAGCAACAGCAGCAGCAGCAGCAGCAGCATCAGCAGCAGCATCAGCAGCAGCATCAGCAGCAGCAGCAGCAGCAACAGCAGCAGCATCAGCGCCAGCAGCAGCAACAACAGCATCAGCAGCACCAGCAACAGCAGCGTCAACAGCAACAGCACAAGCAGCAGCAGCAGCAGCAGCAGCAGCAGCAGCAGCAGGTGCAGCAGCAGCAACAACAACTGTTGCAGCAAAGGCAGCAGCAGGAGGCAGTTGAAAGCACAGGAGGGGTGGCAGGCGGGGCGAGAGGGAGTGGCATGATGGGTGGGATGGGTGCAGGCAGGGTGAGCGCTGTGGACGCTCATGGGGGCATGGCTGCAGCAGGTGGGATGGTGGCAGCCGGTGGGGCCATGGGGGCAGGTGGAGGTGCGCGGGGAGGCGGTGAGATGCATGGGGTGGCAGGGATGGGCATGGCGACGCATGGGGTGATGGGTCAGTATGCCCCTGTCATGGGCCAGCAACCCGTCATGGGCCTTCAGCCACTGCAGCAGCCGCACATGGGGCAGCAACAGGCGGCACAGCAGCAGGTGATGGGACAAGGCGTCACGTCAGCATCAAGGCAGCAGGGGCTTATCATGGGGCAGCATGCAGCAGCAGCAGCATCGGCAGGGGTGGGAGCTCCAGGCATGGCAGCAGCCGCAGGTGGGGCAGCAGCGGCAAGGGAGTGGGCGGAGGTGTTGGAGGAGATTCGGTTTGTGCCCAACAACCGCCCTGCTGACATCTTCAACCTCCTCCACCTGGTGAGACGCCCCTGCCTGGTGAGACGCCCCTGCCTGGTGAGACGCCCCTGCCTGGTGAGACGCCCCTGCCTGGTGAGACGCCCCTGCCTGGTGAGACGCCCCTGCCTGGTGAGACGCCCCTGCCTGGTGAGACGCCCCTGCCTGGTGAGACGCCCCTGCCTGGTGAGACGCCCCTGCCTGGTGAGACGCCCCTGCCTGGTGAGACGCCCCTGCCTGGTGAGACGCCCCTGCCTGGTGAGACGCCCCTGCCTGGTGAGACGCCCCTGCCTGGTGAGACGCCCCTGCCTGGTGAGACGCGCCTTCAAGGCGAGGTGAGAAGCACACTTGCACGAAAGCAAGCGTGTGTCTGCCGGGATCCGCCCTGCCATCCCGCGCTCACCGTCGACCCTTTCTCACTCAACTTCTCCCTTCCCCCGCCCCATGTGTGCCACCACGCCCACCAGGCACTGCCACTAGCGAGAGCACAGGGCCTGACACCCGAGGCACTGGCAGTGTTGGAGCGAGCTGCCTCCGCCGCCGCCGCTGCTGCTGCTGCCTCTCCCTCGTCCCTCCCTGCTGGCCCCAGCCCCGGCTCCCACCGCCCCTCCGGCGCTGCTGCTGCTGCCAAGACCATGGCCCTGCAGGTGGGTGCGGCACATGGTGGGGTTGGGGGGCAGGAGGTGGAATTGGGTGGAGAAGGGATGCAGGGAGTTGGGTTAAGCACAACATTTAGAGAAGGTTATACTGAACTTCCTTTCCTGTTGGTGGTGCTTCGTGCCCTTGGAATGGTGATGCATGACCGTGTGTGAGGTTGGTTGATGGAGCATGGTGTATGCTGCATGCTGCATGGTGCATGGTGTGCATGGTGCATGGTGCATGGTGCATGGTGCATGGGGCATGGTGCATGGTGCATGGTGCATGGGGCATGGGGCATGGGGCATGGTGCATGGTGCATGGGGCATGGTGGCAGGTGATAGAGATGTATCGCAACATGTCAGCACCCAGACCCACACAGCCTGCACCACGGCCACACCCCTACTTCGGCTTCCCCGGCATCTGAACTACCGCAAGCAACCTCTTTTAATATTGTCCAGCACCGTTTCCAGCTCCCAAATGTGGTTGGCTAGTACGGTATTTTACCCCGTCATTTTAAGCCTCAATGAAAATTTTAGTTCTAGCCTACCGTAAGCCCCCGGATATAAGCGCAGGCCTCGGATAAGCACCGGCGGTTATAAAAGGGTGATGGAGCTTATATCCGGTCCTCGATTATAAGCGCACCCCTAGAGGCTTACAGATTATAAGCGCCCCCAATATCGTTACAGATTATAAGCGCCACTCTTTTTTAAACTCTACTATTATAATCCTATCTTTTACAGGCTGTTTTACAAGCTATAATATTTCATGCATAACAACATTTTACTAAAAGTTTCCCGCAACATTGGAAAATTTTCTCTAAAATCTAATCTACCTACACATCCTATACATTGCCATCAACAGTGGCGGAGCCATCTTGGTCGGCCTCGCCGTCCGACTCTGGCTCCTCTACGTTGTTGCAGCAGAATCCATCTGCTGCAATCTCTTCGTCTAGTTCTACTTCACCCTTGACGGCGTCACGCCGATGCTGCATGCAGAGATTGTCCTGGAACCCATCCAGAGCGTTGCTGATGCCGCAGGTGAGGAACGAGCGCTCAATCAACTCCTTGGGCACGGCCTTCCAGGCCTTGGAGATCCACTTGAGCGTCAGCTCTGGAGGTGGTTTGCGGATGTTGCCTGCCACACGTGGGAACACAACAGCAATCAGAATAGGGTGGGGACAGTTAAGCGCAGGCACATCGAACACGTGTTGGAAGTGGTGTCAAATGTTGTAGCCTGTAGTGAGGTTTGTCTTAGGGGGTACAGAAGTTAGGGTTTGTTATATGTACCCCAACCAACATCAATGGAACATCCATTCCTCATTCTGACATGGTATCAGCTAGGTTAGGATCCTGTGGGATCCCGTTCCTCCGTTCTCCGTTCGTACCTCCCGAGCCTGATCCTACCTCTCGTTCGTACCAGTTTCGTTGTTACCGCGCCTAGTACCGAGCCTAGCGCCATCTCCCCCGTCGCGTCACGCTCTTCCCCACCCGTCGCGCCGAGCCCTTTCCCCCCGTCGCGTCGCGCCCGTTCCCCCCCGTCGCGTCGCGCCCGTTCCCCCCGTCGCGTCGCGCCCGCCTGTTACCCCCCCCGTCCCGTCGCCCTGTCCCGTCGCGTCGCCCTGCCCTGTCCCGTCGCCCTGTCCCGTCGCGTCGCCCTACCCCGTCGCGTCGCCCTGCCCTGTCCCGTCGCCCTGCTCCGTCGCGCCGCCCTGCCCCGTCGCGTCGCCCTGTCCCGTCGCGTCGCCCTGCCCCGTCGCGTCGCTCCCGCCCTTTCCCCCGTCGCGTCGCCCTCCCTAGGCCCTGGCCCGTCGCCCTCCCTAGGCCCTGGCCCGTCGCCCTCCCTAGGCCCTGGCCCGTCGCCTTACCCCAGACCCTGGCCCGTCGCCCTCCCTAAGCCCTGGCCCGTCGCCTTACCCCAAACTCTGGCCCTTCGCCTCCCTAAGCCCTGGCCCGTCGCCCTACCCTACGTCTTGGCCCGTCGCCCTAGCCCGCTCTTCCGCTGCGACTGAGTCCTCTTCCCCCACGGTTGTTCCTCGCCTGTTCGTTTGCGTTAGTTCTCACTATGGCGACTCCGCGAGTTCTTCGTTTCGACGCCGACGGTAGACCCCTTGACTTTTCCGTCTGGCTTCTTCGCGCTCGTCGTCTGTTAGAGAGTCAGGTCCAGGGGGGCGAGACCCTCTGGTCACACGCTACTGGTGACCTCCCCGAGCCCCCCGAGCCTACAGCTTTAGGCCCTGCTCCTGACGACGCTGCTACGGCTCGCTTTGCCCGTCAGCGCGCTGACCGGACGGCTTGGACGTCGCGTGACGCTGCGGCCTGCATCGCACTCAGCAGCCTCCTCCCTGAGTCCGAGGAGGTCCACTTTACTCAGGTTCGCACCGCTGCTGCGTACCTCACTGCGATTAAGGCCCGCTACTCTACTCCCGCTACTGTCTCTCTTGGCCGTCTTTTCCTCCCGTTCCTGTTTCCTGATCTTGCCTCGTTTGAGCGCTCTGCTGACTTGATCGCTCACCTCCGCTCGCTCGACGCTAGTTACCGCGCTGCTTGCACTGAGGCACAGCTTGCACTGCTTCCTCCCCCCATGGCGATTACTGTCTATTTCATCGCCACTAGCCTCCCTGACCGCCTTGCCTCCGTTCGTGACGCGCTTCTGCTGAAGCACCCTAGTGAGCTGACTATCGAGGTCCTTGAGTCTGCACTCAAGGACGTCGAGAGCAACCTTCGTTCGGTAGCTGCCGCCTCTGGTACTGTGTCCCCCCCACTCTTCCACGGGTGCACAGTCCCGCAGTTACCCACCTTCACTGCCTCTCTTGCCACTGCCGCTACTGACGCGACTGCGGCTGCTGTTACGACTGCGTCGCGGTCCCGCGGCAGGGGGGGCAAGAAAGGTGGTTCCGGTGGAGGTGGAGGCGGATGTAGCGGAGGTAGTGGGGGTGCTGTTGCGACTGGCGGTGGTGGGAGTGCAGCGTCTGGAGAGACCCCTCGTGCAGCGGCTGGTGACTCCACTGCACCTGCTGGTGGCGGCGACCCTCGAGCTCGTCAGTCGCCTCCTGTACTGCCGGCCCCGCTAGGTGGAGCAGCGGCGTGGTACCAGGCTCAGCGTCAGCAGCACCTTCAGCAGCAGCAGCAGCCCCTTTCCTCCCAGCAGCCTCAGCAGCAGCAGCGTCAGCAGCTGGCTCCGGGGTCGGGGCTGCGTCAGCCCCAGCGCGGTGCTGCTTACCCTCCCTGCCCCTACCAGGTTCAGACAGGTCCTCGTCGGGGCCACCCTTGTGGCCGCTTTCACCCCCCTGGTCAGTGCTTTGCTCAGCTCACTGACACGGTCCGGTTGACCTACGGGGTTGGCGGTCCTGCTCCTGACTGGCTTCCTCTGGTTCAGCGCTACGGCTCCGCTCTGTGGGGCATGTCTGCTGAGCAGTTAGTTGATCTGATTAGTGCTCCTCATGCTATGTATGCTGTTGTTGACTCTAGTGTTTCTGACTCTGTTTACTCTGGTGTTGTTAGCTTAGGTGCTAGTCTTGCTCAGTTGCCTGTTGCTAGTGTAGGTACTTGTGTAGACTCTAGACCAGCGACTACCTCAGAGGACGCTTCGCTGTCGTTCACACTGGACTCTGGAGCCTCCCACTGCTTCTTCAGGGACAGCACGACACTTACACCACTTCCTGCGCCTGTTTCTGTAGCATTGGCTGATCCCACTACGGGACCAGTCACTGCACGTCACACTACCACTTTACCGTGTCCTGCTGCTCCCTCCGGGTCTCTCACTGGGTTTCACGTCCCCTCGTTCTCCCGGAACTTGGTGGGCGTGCGACCCCTCGTGAGTCAGCACGTGGGTGTGTGGTTTGAGCCTTCTGGAGAGACTGCGGTGTGTGTTGACGGAGACTCTTACCAGCCTCTTGCTACCTTTACTGCTGAGCCGGGCTCGGGTCTCTACACTCTTCACACTGGCCCGCGTGCGCCGCAGCAGCAGCCGCAGCAGCAGCAGCAGCCGCAGCCGCAGCAGCAGCAGCAGCAGCAGCAGCAGCAGCAGCAGCAGCAGCACCAGCGGCCGCACCAGCAGCCCCCCCTACTGCCACTGCCCCCGGTTCCCCCCCCCGTTCGGGTCCCCGCGTCTCACCAGGTTGCTACGTCCCCCCAGGTGTCTGTGTCGTGTCAGGTTCCTACGTCTGTTCCAGTCGCTGCGTCGTGCTCCTGCCGGTCGCTTGCCCACCCCACCGTTCTGTAGCACCACCGGATGGGGCACCCGTCCCTTCCACGCCTGCGCGCTATGTCTAGTCAGCGTCTTGTCCTAGGCCTCCCACGTGTCTTGCCGTCGCTGCCGCCTTCGCCTGCGCCGCCGTGTCGTCCCTGCGTCGAGGGTAGGCTGCGCGCCACCCCTCACTCCTCCTCCCTTCGTCCGGCCACCGAGCCTTTTGAGACGCTTCACTTGGACGTTTGGGGCCCAGCCCCTCGTCTAGGCCCTGAGCGTGAGCGTTACTTTCTGGTGGTCGTTGACGACTTCTCCCGCTACACCACAGTGTTCCCTCTGGCGAAGAAGTCTGAGGTGACTTCTACGCTGATCAGGTGGTTGCTCACCACTGAGGACACTCGTGGTCGTCGTGTCAGCTGTCTCCACTCCGACCGTGGGGGTGAGTTTCGCTCCGGCATTCTCGCTGGATTCTGTCGCGAGCAGGGCATTCGTCAGTCCTGGACGCTTCCGGAGTCCCCACAGCAGAATGGGGTTGCTGAGCGCCGCATAGGCCTGGTCATGGAGATCGCCCGCACCTCCCTGACTCACGCCTGTGCCCCCCATTTTCTGTGGCCCTACGCGGTCAGGTACGCCGCGCACCAGCTGAACCTCTGGCCACGTGTCTCTCGACCAGAGGTTTCACCGACCAGTCTTTGGACAGGGTCCCCTGGTGTTGCGTCGCGGTTTCGTGTCTGGGGGTGCTTGGCTCTTGTCCGCGACACCTCCGCGGACAAGCTCTCGCCTCGTGCCGTCCCCTGTGTCTTCCTTGGTTTCCCTGAGGACT